GGTTTATTTGGGTGATGATCGATGTTGCAATATTGTTGGTATTGGTGATGTCAGAATTAAGATGCACGATGGCTCCGTTCGGACGTTGAGTGGTGTTCGACATATCCCAGACTTGAAGAAGAATTTGATTTCCTTGGGCACTTTGCACAAGAATGGTTTTATCCCTAAGGCTGACGAGGATAGGGAAACCATTCGGATTGTTAAAGGAGCATTGACTGTGATGAAAGGCAAGATGACTGCAGGGAATATCTACAGATTGTTAGGGACTACCGTTGCAGGTGGAGTTCACTCTGTTGAGTCCTGTGATGATACGACAAAATTGTGGCATATGCGCCTTGCTCATCTTAGTGAACGTGGTATGGCAGAATTACACAAGAGAAACTTGTTGCATGGTGTCAAAAGCTGTAAGCTCGATTTTTGCAAGTATTGTGTTCTTGGTAAACAGACTAAAGTCCGTTTCAAGACTGCGAAGCACACAACTCAAGGGATTCTTGATTATGTGCATTCTGATGTATGGGGGCCTTCCACGACATCGTCTTTGGGTGGATCTAGGTACTATGTTACTTTTATTGATGATTTTTCACGGAAAGTTTGGGTGTATTTTTTGAAACAGAAATCTGAAGTTTTTGAGAAGTTCAAGTTGTGGAAAGCTGAGGTAGAAAACCAAACAGGACGAAAAATCAAGTGTTTGCGGTCTGATAATGGTACGGAGTACACAGATTCACAGTTCCTACAATTCTGTAAGGAGCATGGGATTCAGAGGCATTTTACAGTGCGCAAGACACCACAACAGAATGGTGTTGCGGAACGAATGAACAGGTCGTTGAATGAAAGAGCCAGATGTTTGCGGTTGAATGCGGGGCTTCCCAAACACTTCTGGGCTGAGGCTGTTAACATGGCGTGTTACCTTATCAACAGATCGCCAAGGGCATCGCTGGCTGGGAAAGTTGCAGAAGAGGTATGGACTGGTCATGATGTTAGTTTTGATAACTTACGGATTTTTGGTTGTCCTGCTTATGTGCATGTACCTGTTGATGAGAGATCCAAACTTGATGCAAAATCGAAGGAGTGCATTTTTCTGGGTTACAAGAAAGGTGTCAAAGGATTCAAGTTCTGGGATCCAGTTGCGAAGAAAGTTGTGATTAGTAGAGATGTCGTTTTTGATGAACAATCCATGTTGCAGCAGAAGCAAGACACGACAGTGGTGGATTTCGAGCAGTTTCCAGTTGAGAAACCAGAAACTTCTCAACCGACTTCTGGTGGTTCCACTACGGATGATTTACAGGATTATAGTCTCGCCAGAGACAGGGTGAGACGGACGAATATAAAGCCTCCGAACAGATTGGGTTTTGAAGACTTGGTATCTTTTGCACTTATTGTTAGCAGTGATGATCCGGTTACTTTTCATGATGCCGTTACTAGTCAGGAAAACGACAAGTGGATGGCAGCCATGGTTGAGGAGATGGAGTCTTTGAATCACAATCGCACATGGGAGTTAGTTCCCCTTCCTGAGGGTAAGAAGCCGATTGGTTGCAAATGGGTGTATAAGAAGAAACCAGTAGTAACAGAAAAAGAGGGGGAGAAGTTCAAGGCTCGTTTGGTAGCGAAGGGTTTTTCACAGCAGAAAGGAGTTGATTATGATGAAATCTTTTCTCCTGTGGTCAGGCACACTTCAATCCGAGCAGTACTTGCATTGGTGGCTAGTTGGGATTTGCATTTAGAGCAGATGGATGTTAAAACTGCTTTTTTGCATGGTGATTTAGAGGAGCAGATCTACATGCGGCAACCTGAAGGTTTCACTCAACCTGGAAACGAGCATTTAGTTTGCAGATTGAAGAAATCTTTGTACGGGTTGAAACAGTCTCCGAGACAGTGGTATAAACGGTTTGACTCCTATATGATCAAGATTGGCTACAACCGATGTGAGTATGATTGTTGTGTCTATGTTAAGAGCCTTGATGATGGTTCTTTTATTTTTCTATTACTGTATGTTGATGATATGTTGATTGCTGCGAAGAACATGGATGATGTTATCGGTTTGAAAACTTTATTGAGTCAGGAATTTGATATGAAAGATTTAGGTGATGCAAAGAAAATTCTTGGAATGGAAATTTGCAGGGACAGAGACTCAAGGAAACTGCGGCTATCTCAACGGGGTTATGTTGAGAAAATGCTAGAAAGGTTTGCGATGAGCAGCGCAAAACCAGTTAGCACTCCATTGGTGAATCACTTTAAGCTCTCATCAGAACAGTGCCCCAAGACAGATAAGGAAGCTGAAGATATGGCAAAGGTTCCGTATTCTAATGCTGTTGGCTGCTTGATGTATGCGATGGTATGTACTCGTCCTGATTTAGCTCATGTTGTTAGTCAAGTTTGTAAGTACATGTCTAAACCTGGTAAGCAACATTGGGATGCAGTCAAGTGGATCTTTCGGTACTTAAAGGGTACTGTGGGACATGGAATTGTTTTTGGGAGTCAGCGGGATAATCCTTTGGTTGTAGGATATGTGGATTCAGATTATGCAGGTGACTTGGATAATAGAAGATCTACGACAGGGTATGTGTTTACTCTTGGTGGAGGGCCTATTTGCTGGAAGTCTACTGTTCAATCTGTCGTGGCACTATCTACAACTGAAGCTGAATACATGGCAGCGGCTGAAGCTGCAAAAGAAGCTTTATGGCTTACTGGTTTAGTGAAGGAGTTGGGTGTTCAACAAGGTGGAGTTCAGTTGCTTTGTGATAATCAAAGTGCTATTCACTTGGCTAAGAATCAGGTGTATCGTGCTAGAACTAAACATATTGATGTAAGGTTCCACAAGATCAGAGAGTTGGTTGCATCTGGAGAGGGTTTGTTTCAGAAGGTACATACTGATGAGAATGCCGCTGATATGTTCACCAAGCCAGTTACGACAGACAAGTTCAAGCATTGCTTGGACTTGTTGAATGTTTCGAGTTGTTAAAGAAGCAAGGTAACCCAACCCACATTGAAGTTTCCAAGGGGCAGGATATTCGCCAAGGTGGAGATTTGTTATGTATGGCTCATAAAAAGTCTCGTTGTGGGGTTACGAATTATGTGGGTTGGGGGTGTGGGGGCGCAGCCCCCGCGGTACGGTACAGGGTTGATTTTGTAATTATGTACCAGGGTTTTCTATTATAAATAGAGATGTAACCTAGACCTAAAATATCATTGAATAAAACTTCTAGCGCCGCCTAGGCACCGAGGACGTAAGCACATTGCCGAACCTCGTAAAATTCTCGTGTTCTTTCGTTTTCTTTACCCGTTTTCGTCAACAAAACCAATAACTATTTTCCTTAATTGTATATTAAAACAATCGGACTGTGAAACTTCTCATATAGTGTTTGTTAGGAATGTTAAGAAAAATCTAACCCGTTAATTTGAGTACATGAGTAATATAAAAGTATAACGTGCTTCAATAATGATGTCATCACGTATGTATATCTTTTAATTTTAAATTTTGTAAAAAATAATTAAAACCAACTATTACAAAAAAGTTAAAATATACTCAGTTTATTTTTTAATAGAAAATGTTAAATATCTCCCATCTCATAAATTTAATACCTAAAACACTTAAAATTTCTTTTATGTGAATCTTAAAATTATAAAATATGACTCATAGTTTAAAGTAGGGGTGTTCATGGTCGATTAATCGTACCGTTTAGTCTAAATGATCAATTAATCGTTATAATGGTTATTAAATTTTGTTAACCGTAATCTTACTATTGTTATTAACGGTTCAATTATAGGGCAATATATATTTAACCTATTAAAATTTTCTCAAACATAATACAACTTAAAATTTTCAAATTTTCATAAAATTAATGATGATACAAACATATATATTTGTAAAAATCTTATTTATTTTTAAATAGATTTTATTTTATAAATAAATATATATATATATATATATATATTATGAGGTATATTAATTTTTTTACAATTTAAAATCTTATGTGTATATGCACAAATCAACTTATCTCAGTGATTAAAGAAATCATTGTTGTATGTAGAGGTCATGAGTTTGAGCACCATCGGGCACGGTGATTGAGTAGTCATTGTGAAATGGTTGAGAGTATTTAGAACATATATATTATTTTATAATCACCTTAGTTTACTCAAAAAATCTTATGTGTATTTATATTTTACATTTTAAAATCATGTATTTCTTCTATTTTATAACTAAAAATAGTAGGAATCATTTTGATTTTATTGCTAATTTATTAACAATTAATCAACATTTTATTAAAATATCATTTGATTTCTTTAAAAATATTGAAAATTGAATTTAGGGGATGTTTGTTTACTGCTGAATGGTTCCTGAATGGAACCATTCAGCGTTGAATGGAACCATTCAGCGCTGAATGCTGAACGATTCAACATTCAACATGTTTAACTCTCACCTCTGAATGAAGACTATGCTGAATGAAACGGCAAAACACTGCTGAATGATTCAGTATTAAAGTACATTCTGAATCATTAAGCACCCGATATTTTACCATAATACATATTTTTTCACATGTTGTCTTATTAAACAATCATATCTTATAATATAATAAATCATTATGAAGGTAAAAATGAAAATATTCATAATTCAGATTATATATTCAGAACCATTATCAAACAACATGTCACATTCAGAGCCAATTCATACAGAGTTTTTAAATCATTCAGGCCATTGAATCATTCAGGCCATTGAATCATTCAACACTTAATTATATTATTTTATCAAACATCCCCTTAATTTACAAAAAGAAAAAAAAAGTTAATTTTATGAAAATTTATAAATATTAAGTACTAAACTTGTCATTATATAATTTTTTATTCCTTTTTCAATTTTGGGTTGGTGAACTTCAGCAGCCCGAAAAATAGTTTAAATACTCTCGTCTTCCCTTCAAATCTCATATGCCAAAAGAGCTTTCCTCTTCGTTCTTAATAATAAAAAAAAAAACCTAGCATTCTTCTTCCCTTTAGTTCTCTCAACCATGGCAACATCTGAAAGTGCAGTTAAAATACACGAGATCACTCGAGTCACCCCTTCCTCCGACTCACTGAACTCAGCCAACGAATTCAGCCTTCCACTTACTTTCTTCGACACGTACTGGTTCAAGTTCCCTCCCGTTCAAAGCCTCTACTTGTACCAACTCACTGAGTCCCATTCCACACCTTCCTATTTCAACTCAGAAATCCTCCCCAGACTCAAGCAATCTCTTTCTCTCGCACTATCCCACTACCTTCCGATCGCCGGCTACTTGAAATGGCCCTCGGAAGTCGACAAGCCCGTCGTGTCATACACCCCTAACGACGGCGTTACTCTCACGGTCGCCGAATCAAATGTAGCCAACTACGACACCTTAATAGGCAATGAAATGTATAGAGCAAATGAGTCGCATCCTTTCACACCTGAGTTGATGTTGTCCGATGATAAAGCGGAAATACTCGCTTTGCAAGTAACACTGTTTCCCGGTCAAGGATTTAGCATCGGCAAGGCGGCGCACCATTCAGCGTTCGACGGCAGGATCGCGAGCATGTTTATAAGGTCATGGGCTTATCTATGCAAACACGGCACCAACAAGTTGCCACCGGAGCTAACCCCATCGTTCGATCGGAGTATCATCAAAGACCCATCGGGACTGGCCATACGTTTCTTGAATCAATGGCGAGCTATTTTCGAACAAAAGTCCGACACGAGAAGCATGAAAATCCCGGTCTCGTTAAAGGCGGTTTCCGATGATATCGTTCGAGCCACGTTCGAGTTCAGCTGCGAAGACATCAAGGGACTCAGGGACATGGCCTTGTGTAAATTAGCAACCAATAACGGAAAACGGCAGCATCATCTCTCGAGTTTCGTCGTCACGCTCGCTTATACATCAACCTGTCTGGTTAAAACGAAAGGAGAAGGCGACAGGGACGTCGTCATCGACTTCGGAGTCGATTGTCGGGCTCGTCTAGACCCGCCGGCTCCACCGACATACTTCGGAAACTGCGTCGTGAATTATTCCAACTCGGCGGAAGCGAAGAATTTCATGGGAGAAGAAGGCTTTGCCTTTGCTGTCGATATGGTGAGCGAATTGGTGCAGAAGATCAAGAAGGGCGTTCTTGAAGGCGCCGAAATGAATGTTACGAATTTTTACGCTCCAAAATTACCCGGTACGCAGTTGATTATGGTCGCCGGATCGCCCAAGTTGAACGTTTACGAGTCGGATTTCGGCGAGGGTAAGATCAAGAAGGTGGAGATTGTGTCCATAGAGAGGGATGAAGCTGTTTTCATGGCGGAGAGTAGGGAGGGAAATGGAGGAGTTGAGGTTGGTTTGGCACTGAAGAAGCACGAAATGGAGAAATTTGCTGCTTTGTTTCATGATGGATTAAGAAACCTCAACTGATCATTTTACATCGTTCTCTTTAAGATTAGTGCCATCAAATAATTGTTACGTACTATGTTTTATATAATGTATTTCCCGTCTGATTAAATGTGTTTTTTTTAGTTTTAAATTATTTCATCTAAGACGTATTAGAAAAATATAAATAACATTTATGTTCTCCTATTTTTACCCTTATTCTTTTGCATCGATTAAAATAATCTGTCAAATCTATCGATCATTTTTTGAAAGATAATTTTATCATTTCTATTATTTTATATATGATCTAATTTATCTCCTAAAATTAAGTATTTTTTCAACATGAAATACAATTATGGAACGGAGGGAATAATAAACATTAATTTTCTATATTAATAATGAAGATTATTTAATGAAAGTATCCATCATAGTTTTATCAAGTGTAAATAACAAATGTTCCCTGACTATATGGTGTTGTTTTGTTGAGTCATCTGACTATTAAAAGTTACAAAATGATCTATTGAGGGCATTACTTTAGTGAGTCCTCTGAATATTAAACGCTACAAAATGGCCATTTGGTTATTTGTATGTTCAAAATCGTCCTTTTATGTTAAAAATTGATGACAGTCTGAGTTGAACGTTAATCTGTTGAGTGATATATGATAGTCATTTTAGATTTTGAAATCATATTTTATCATGTCACAATTAAATGTTAATGTCCAGCTCAGTCTGCCATCAATTTTTTAACAGAAAATAACGAGTTCGTAACATATAAATAGTCGAGTGACCATCTTATAACTTTTATAGTCGGTTGATTCAACAAAACAATATCCTATAGTCAAAAGATTATTTCATAACTTTTAATAGTCGAGACAATAAAATCAACTTTCTATAATAGGATGGGATGTACTTGACCCTTCTATTAAACATGCAATTTGCGTAAATGTGTTTTTTCATGTGGAATTCTTGTCTACAGCAAGACGTCTGCCCGCATGGCGTATCGGAATCGGAGAAGCCACCGGAGAAAGACCGTTAGGTTTTTAATGATAATATAATAGTTTATTATTATTGTTAAATTGATGATTATTTTTGTAATTTTTTTTATAATAGATTGAAAACATTTAATAGTTGAGGCACTATTTTCGTATTTGGCCTTCACTTATTGCAGTGTGCAGTGGCCAGCCCTTGTTTCACCCACCTTTTTGTTTTACTCTATCTCCCTCATAAAAAAATTATAATAGTAATTCTTTTTTATTCTCTCAAACACAAAGGCAAACATCATTCGTTGATAATACTATCTGATTTATTCAGTTTCAGATCTTATCTCCACGCCGAATGATAAAGAAGGTGATTGAAGGCAGATAGCAGCGAAGATGGAGCAATTAAGGACTTTTGGTAGGGAGCTCGCAATGGGCTCCCAAGGCGGATTCTACCAGTCCAAAGAATTTCTGGATCTGGTCAAGTCCATCGGCGAGGCTCGATCAAAGGCCGAAGAAGACCGGATTGTTCTCAACGAGATCGATACTCTCAAGCGCCGTATCTCCGAGCCGGACATCCCCAAACGCAGGATGAAAGAGTTCATCATCAGATTGGTTTACATCGAGATGCTCGGTCACGACGCTTCCTTCGGTTACATCCACGCCGTTAAGATGACTCACGATGACAGTCTTCTCGTCAAACGAACTGGTTACTTGGCCGTCACGCTCTTCCTAAATGAAGATCACGATTTGATCATTTTGATTGTCAATACCATTCAGAAAGATTTGAAGTCCGACAATTACTTGGTGGTATGCGCCGCCTTGAATGCCGTTTGTAAGTTGATCAATGAGGAGACGATCCCTGCCGTGTTGCCGCAGGTTGTGGAGTTGCTCGCACATGCCAAGGACGCTGTGCGGAAGAAGGCCGTCATGGCTCTCCATCGTTTTTATCAGAAATCCCCCTCTTCCGTCTCGCATCTTATCTCCAATTTTCGCAAGGTAGGTATTTTCCATGTGCACATTCTGCTTCTAGGTTGTAGTCTAATTTTATCATTTCTAATGATTTTGTTTATGCATTTAGTTTATCCACCATACAGCTATTTTAACCTATTGGAATTCGGAAAAGTGTCTTTGTTTCTGTGTATGCAACTATGCAAATCGGTGATGATTTGCTGATGCAATGCTTATTGTAGAGATCAAAATTTACCTTCCTTTCTGGATTAGTTTTATGAATCATCATTTTGCTGAAGTTGTATGGGACTAGCATGACCAGGTGTGTCGTATGTGATTATTTCAAATTTATTATCGAGAAGAATTTCAAGCTCATGCTAACCAACCTGCGTTTGGTTCACAACTAAAACCACGAATACTCAAATACTTGCTGTTCTAGAATGACCTTTATTAAAGAAATAGGTAAAGGGCAGTAGGGAAACCATGTATTTTAAAGAAATCATATTCTGTAAGTTCTCAAGATGTTGTTCATTTTTTATTAGTATTTATGTTTTTAGGAAGGTCCGTTTTAAGATGTATTCCTTGAGAAGCTGAAAAGCTCATCCTGTAGTACCAAATTTGCTTTTAATATATTGATGGTTATGTTTCTCAATTTGTTTTTGCTTTAGAACCGTAGACATAGACTGTCTCATTAGACTTAAAAGTGGTATAATTTATTTCAGAGGCTTTGTGATAATGACCCTGGAGTTATGGGAGCAACCCTTTGCCCGCTTTTTGATCTAATAACACGAGACATTGATTCTTACAAAGACTTGGTCATCAGCTTTGTAAGCATTCTTAAACAAGTAACTGAACGCAGACTATCAAAGGCTTATGACTACCATCAGATGCCAGCTCCATTTATTCAGGTGATTTGTCTTTTAGGTTTTGCTCGAGCTTTTAGAAATTTTCAATTGACAATGCTGATCATATGACGAGCATAGTTTTATTATGCAGATCAAGTTGCTAAAAATTCTGGCATTGCTTGGAAGTGGTGACAAGCAAGCAAGTGAAAACATGTATACCATAGTGGGAGACATATTCAGAAAATGTGATTCATCAAGTAATATAGGAAATGCTGTACTTTATGAGTGCATATGCTGTGTTTCTTCTATTCATCCCAATCCCAAGTTATTAGATTCTGCAGCCGATGTTATATCAAGATTTTTAAAGGTAGCCGGTTACTGTTCTAGAGCATCATGAGTTCCTTTTCTTTTCTTTTCTTTTTTGGTGACTATGGTGAATCATGCCATCTTGTGTTATCTGTTTGCAGAGTGATAGTCATAACCTAAAATATATGGCCATTGATGCTCTTGGCAGATTGATAAAGATAAGTTCAGAGATCGCTGAGCAACATCAGTTGGCTGTGATTGATTGCTTAGAGGTTCAGAAGCTTCTTATTTTGATTCTGTCCTTGGTTTCTAGTCCTTGTTTTGATATTCTTAATTTTGGATACTTTATTACGATTTAACTTGCGGAAGCTGGGAGTTGTTTATATAAGTTTCTGGCTTGCCCTGTACGGCCTGATATAACTGTTGGTCCTGTTAAATGGGAAATGAGAATTAGAGTAACATAGGGAAGATGCATTTAGAAATTTCGATCCATCCGTCTAGTGTAGAATTTACAATTTTTCTTTTCTTTTCTGGTAGGCCACAAAAGCTTGAGTGAATGCTTTTGCTTCATTATGCTATTTCCATGAACTTGCCATTCTTCATTACAATTATTTAACGAGTGCTTGACACAGGACCCAGATGACACTCTGAAGAGGAAAACATTTGAACTACTTTACAAAATGACCAAGTCTACAAATGTGGAGGTTATTGTTGATCGCATGATTGATTACATGATTAGCATTAATGATAATCATTATAAAACTGAAATAGCATTTCGATGTGTTGAACTCGCGGAGCAATTTGCACCAAGCAGTCAGTGGTTCATCCAGGTAATATTTTTCCTTCCACTGGCCAATCTAGTTTCTTAGCTTTAGAGTACTAGCGGTTCCTGATAAATTTACTCTGCAGGCCATGAATAAAGTTTTTGAGCACGCAGGAGATCTGGTGAATATTAAGGTAGCACATAATTTGATGCGGTTGATTGCTGAGGGATTTGGAGAGGATGATGATAATGCAGATAGTAAATTGAGATCATCTGCTGTAAGTTCATTTGGTGATTGCCTTTTGCAGGCCATGCACAACCCCATGTCAATTCATGCATTGTATTTATTTCCTAAGTATTTAACATCTTGAATCTTGTTTGGTCTTTTTTTTTCATATGTTTCATTAGTATAATATCATTCGAGCCTGAGAGAGAGAAAAAGACTACTAAAAGCTTAAAAACCTTTGGATTTGTAATGCCTTGTGCTTTGTCGGTTTTGTTAATACCGTGGATGGTATTGAACCCAGGGTTTAGCCTAGTTGGTTATACAGCCATCCTTAAAAGATGGCATTCAGCAGGTTTGCATTTGAAATTCCAGCACCTGTAGCCTCTTGTCCTGTTCAAGTATAGCTGAAGTTGAGGATGGTCTGGTTTTACTGCAAAGTCACAAACTTATAATATGCAGCACAGGCTTGTCTAACAGTTCTGGTTTTAATGGGAAGTCAGAGATATAAAACTCGGCATAATACACAGCATCCATTGTTCCTTTCTGATTTATGATTTAACTTGAATTTGTCAGGGTTTGTATATATTTTCTCTCCTATCAGTCCAAAGAGACTCTTATGGTGAAATTTTCACCTGTTTTAGTTCATCTTTTCATTTGTATTCTAGTTTTACTCTTATATTTTGGTCCTATCGTTTTCTTGAGTTTGATTATTTTTTTTGGAGCAGGTGGAGTCATATTTGCGCATTCTCAGTGAACCAAATTTGCCTTCTGTTTTTCTTCAAGTACGCTGTATTAAGTATTTTTTCTATCTTTTGTATTCCTTGCATGTGGAAGGACTAAAATGCTGATCATTATCTTAATTGTGAGTTTTGATTGCAGGTAATTTGTTGGGTATTGGGGGAATATGGAACAGCTGATGGAATGTTCTGTGCTTCTGACATTACCGGGAAGCTATGTGATGTTGCAGAGGCTTATTA